GGAGCGGGGCCGGCCCAGAGGCGTTGTGTGAGGGAGGAGCGCTGCCTGGGCGCTGCAGGGTGGGGAGAAAAGGGACGACACGGTTTCGGGACGTTTAAATGGAGTGTTTGTTGGTGCTGTCCTTCCAGCCCGTCTCTTGGAGAGCTGCGCCCCCTGGGCCGCCGCGCCCCCCGCCCGCTGGAGCGGGAGCAGCTCCGCGCTGGGCAGCATCTTGGGCATCCCCGACGAGAAGCCGGCTGGCACCTTGGGCCGGCATCCTCCGCCCGTTGTCACCAGCAAAAGTGAGTGATACTAGCTGCCGCCCGGGGCCCGGCGTTGGGATGGACGATCCTAACCCACTGTGGGGTTTTAGCGACGTTCAAACTCCTTCTTTTCCCGCTAGAGGAACAAAACCGTCTCTTACGGCATCGGCCTGACCAGCCCCAGAACCCCAAAGTTCTAAGAATTGCCATCATCGGAGCGCCCAACGCTGGGAAGTCGACGCTCTCCAATCAGCTCTTGGGCAGAAAGGTACAGCTGGGGTGGAGCAACAAGTTCAGGCTGCGAAATGTCTTTTTTTGACATATTCTGGCTATGTAACGTGTTTCATTTCTTACAGGTTTTCCCTGTCTCTAAGAAAGTGCACACGACGCGGTGCAAAGCCCAGGGTGTCGTCACGTGTGAGGACACCCAACTGGTGAGCTTCCAGACCTGCTCCCACTTGGGGCAGCGAGAATTGTTAGCCAGAAAGTGCAGGGGGTTCTTGTTTGTACCCCATGAGGTCACTTCTAATTGCATAAAATAAGTTTTAGCTTGGCCGCCAACCGCAGGCCAACTTACAAGCTCTGTCTTTGCTCTTTCTAGATCATTCTGGACACACCTGGCCTCACTAGTCCCTTCAAAGCCAAAAGGTATCACCGCTGTTGTGGGGAGAGCAGGGGTGTCCTGTCTGTTGAGGTTTGAGAAAACCAGAGAGTGATTTCCACCATGCAAAGTTTGTAAAATAGGAGGGATGGGAGTGTCTATTTTTAGCCTTATTGTGGTCTCCAGAGTTTTTCGTTGTTGCAATTTCAGTAGCACAGAGAGCCTGTGGCATCCCTTGAGCCCTGTTATGTTTGATTCTGCGTACCTGCGTGTCACGAGATATGTCACAGCCCATGAGACAGCTTTGTGTCAGCTGGGATGGTGGAAAACGCTGGGTTTCCTTCCCTTTGAGGGGGAGGAAGGCGATTGTGACCAAATGTGTCCGGCTTACTCATCTGCATTTGTCTTTCAGACACAAATTAGACAAAGCCATGCTGACAGACCCATGGGATAGCATGAAACATGCAGATTTAGGTGGGTACTCAGCTCCTTGGATCAAGCCAAACCCTTTATCTGCCACAGAAGTTTACAGCTCTGTGGCTCTGGTACCTGGATGTTTACTGGGCAGTGAAGGCAGCCCTGGGAGCGTGAGGGAGGAGGGAAGGGCAGTGAAAAGGTTTGAAATAGCGAGCTGAGGAGGGGATAAGAGTTGCCTGGCGCCGAGGGGGGCCAGCTTGGGTTAATAATTGGGCTTGGATGTTAAGTTTTACTATGTGTGATGTCATCTGGATGACAGGTGTAAACTGCACTTTATTGTTTTATCAATAAAAATGCTCCTTTTTAGTTCTACCCATGTGCTCTCCTGTAGGAGAGAGAGAAGTAGTAGCAGGAGGGAAGTGACCATAGGGTGTGAAGCAGCTGAAAAGGAGCACCTTGGAAAGTGCAGGTTCATCATGTTTCCCTCGCTCTTTTCTGGCAGTTCTGGTTTTGGTGGACGTGTCGGATCACTGGACGCGAAACTCCCTGAGCAAGGAGGTGCTGCAGTGTCTCTCTCAGTTTCCCCAGATCCCCAGTGTCCTGGTGCTGAACAAGGTGAGTGGGGAGCTTGTTCTTTCCACCTTCTGCGGTGCGTTACGCTGGTGCCTTCAGACAGGACCCGGCATCGGGGCCGGGTGTGTTGAAGGACACCGGTTCCCCCCTCTGCCCCGGCGTGTTTTAAGTGTGTGTGTTGGCGCTGCGTGCACAAGCGTCCCTGAAGCTGTACGGACTGGGGTTTAAATCCCCCTGGGAAGAGGAGCTGGTGCCACAGTGGGGTTGGCCAGTGAGAATCTGAGCAGAGCCGACAGAGAAGGTGTTGCTGTCAAGTCGACCGTGTTGGGACAAACGGCTGGAGCTGCCGACGCGCTCTGGTTTGGCCCCTGGTTGAAAAACTGCTCGGTTCTGTTGCAGAAGCCTTGTCCTGCAGCGGCTGCCTCCCCTGGGTGGTTTCTTCTGGCTCCTTCAGATCCAGGGCCCAAGGTGCCAACCTCATTTAGGACGAATTCCTGACACCTCTTTTTCTCTCGCTTTAGGTGGATCTGCTCAAGAATAAGTTTATCCTGCTGGAACTAGTAACTGAGCTAACGAAGGGGATGGTCGATGGAAAGAAACTGGAAATGAGCTCTGCATTTAAACATAGTTCCAGTTCTTCAGCAAAGTGTCCTCGGGCTTCTCCCCCTGTGAACAGGCCTCCCGAGTCTCACTGTCTGCAGGAGACACACCAAGCCCGGGAGGGCTCCAGCTCAGACAGCAGCAGTGACACGAGGGCTTCCGAGTCCGGTCTTGTCGCGGAAGCAGCACAAGGGCTGAAGCGCCATGGCCCCAGAGACCTAGAAAACATGAAAGGCTGGCCCTGCTTCCAGGAGATCTTCATGCTGGCAGCTCTCCATGGGGAGGAGGTGGACACGCTCAAGGTAACTGCAGCCTGAGCTTCCATCACACTGGTGTGCTCTTACCCGTGTGGGAGCCCGGTACTTCATCCTGAGCTTCACCTCCTGTGAGGAGGTAGCAGAGCTGCTGTGCTTGGCCTAGGATGTGGGAGGGAAGATACCAAACTGCTGCCCCGAGGCCTGACTAGCAGCAGCGCCCTCACAGCGACTCGCTGCAGGGTGAGCCCGGGGCTTGGTGGCACCGCGAGGGCGGTACGTGACCCCGATGGGCGCGGTGTGTGTTTTGTGCCGACAGCGGTACCTCCTGATGCAAGCCAAGCCAGGCCCTTGGGAGTTTCACAGCGAGGTTTTGACCAGCCAGTCGCCTCAAGAGATCTGTGACAACACCATCAGGGGGAAGGTGCTGGAGTACCTGCCGCTGGAAGTGCCCTACGGCGTGGTTCAGGTGGGGAGCGTGCGCGAGCAGCCTTGCCTTTACGCGGTTTGGTGGGAAACGATCGGGCTGTGCGGTGGGAATCCCGCTGTTGGAGTCTGTGAAATCTGCCAGACCCTTTACAGGCCCCGTGGGGTGACTTGGGACTTGGCACGTTGGGTGCTGTGAGCCCTTTTAAGGGCCACCCTGGCGTGCTGGTGTCGGGGGAGCCGAGCGGGTGGCGTTGGCGGTTCCTGCGGCGCTTTGCCGAATCGCCGAGCGCACGTTTGCTGCTGCAGGTGACGGAGATGTGGGAGGAAGGACCGAGTGGGGAGCTCCTCATCGTGCAGAAGCTCTTGGTCCCCAGGAAGTCTCATATGGTGAGTAACAGAAGAGAGACGGGGCGCTGGGGAGCAGGTTCCTTAGGTCCAGCCTTGTCCGTCCTTGCTGCGACCCCCTCTCCCTCCGCTGCGGGGTCTCTGGGAGGAAGAGCCAGGTGCCCCACACAGTCAGTAGCAGCTTGCACCTTTCTGAAGGTGCCCATGGTTTGGTTTTGGGATTTCTCTAACTGCTTTATCCCCTTTAATTGCTTCTGGGGCTGCCCTGTTGCTTTCCTGGGTGATTCCTCCCCGCAGTTAAGTAATGTAAGGATGAGGATGATGATCTTCTCCTCTCTGGGTTTTGATACAGGCGATGTTGATTGGAAGAGAAGGTAAGGTTATCAGCAGGATTGCTCAGGAGGCTGGCTGTGACCTGATGAACGTTTTCCTGTGTGATGTCCACTTGAAGCTCAAGGTGGAGGTGAAGAGTTGAGCTCTTTGAGTATGTTTTAACAGCCCTTGGGCTCTCTGGTCACGTGGAGAAACTAAGACCGTTTCCCTCTCTGAGCGCCCTGGCACCTTTTTCTCAATGCAGAAACAGGATGATGGAATCCATCTAGCAGGCTGAAGTAGGATATATTATTCTTTGGGGGAATGGCCCAACCTGAAATAAAATCTTCTGACCTTATCTTGTGGAAGCTGGGGACGGACAGCAGAGAACCAGCTGCACGTGCCATTCTAGCCCTGCGTTACGGAGCCATCGTCCCCTTCTTCTGGGCTCTGTCCCACATCCTTGCTGTCGAGTTTTTGTGCCTGGAAGTTCAGGAGCATCTCCTGTCTTTGAGCAGACAAAGGGTTGCAGGATTCTCGGCACACGTTGGTCATCTCTTCCGAAGGCTGAACCTCTCCAGCAGCGGCTGTGCAGGAGGAGGAGGCTGCCGGCGCGGTGCTCTCCTGTCGGCTGTGCTCTCTGCCCTGTTGAAGTTCAGGGGTGTGTGACTGTGTAGGGGTGTGCTGGCCAGCAGAAACGCTCTGTAGTGACGGGCTGTGACAGAGGAACCTCCCAAACCCTCTGTAGATCTTCAGGGCCAACGGTTTCCAGCTCCTGTGTGGGAGCCCTTCCCGCGGGCTTGCGTGCACCATCCTCTTCCACGACTGCGAGCTGCTGCTCTCGTTTGGACCTCTCCTGTGCAGTAGGTCGTAAAAATGCTTGTTCCTGCCTCTGTCATCCTTCCCTCCAACTTCCTCAGCAGTTTGCTGCTCCTGGCATGTGGTCCTTGCTCCAGAGGGCTGGGTCTGATCACAGACTGATCCGAGCGGATCCCTGGAGAAGCAAGAAGTGGAACCGTGGTCAGTGTGTGTAGGAGCTGCTTCCCTGACCGCTGGTGAGAGGAGCAGGGAGGTCGGAGAACGGCTCTCTGGGCTGCGAGCGTTTGCTGGAGCATATTTGAAAGGGAAACGGAGCAGGGAGGAGGTGTTTTGTTTCTGGTGCCCAGCGGGGTTCTGCCTGTCCGCCCCTCTGGAGCTTGGCTAATGGCTGAATGTGGAGTGGCTTGGTCTGAAGATGCTGCTAGCAGCATCTCATAGGAGCTTACTGCTTCAAAAGGGCTTGTTTGTCACGTGAAACCAGAGCGGACCCCCTTTCTTAGGAATTTGGGTCACTTATCGCACCAAAGCTGCTTCAGAGTCATTGCTCTTTGCGCCAAGGTCGCAGATAACAAACGCAGAGGCCGTCGCAGCTGGAGAGAAGCCCAAAGGGGGGAGATCAGGGGCTTCTGCAGCTCGGGTTTAACGGGGCGTCGGGGATGGAGAGCAGCTGGCAGCGGTCGGGGCGCGAGTGAGGCTTGGAGGCTGGGGGAGCAGGGCGGTACCCAGGGCTGGGGCACTGCGGCCGAGCCCTTGGCGTGGAGCCTGGTGCCACGTGTGTGTGCCCGGGCCCCTGCCCTCCCTGC